CCTTGTGCTGCTTCTTTGCTCTGCACTTATCTGGTAGTGCAAGAGGCCTGTTCATTCTGTCCTTGAGCGAATCAGTGAAAAGGCGTCACTCCTCTTTTGCTGACTTGAAAGGCATTTGTTGTTTAGGTTTCTATACAGGGGAAGAAGAGGGACTGTTCCCCACAGGCAGGCTGGACCAGGACCCAGCTCTGAGCATCTTCCTAACCCGCAGCACCCCCCAGGCCCAAAAGGGGGTAGTCCCTCTGCTCACCTCCATCTGCTCTGCTGCAGGGGCCCCAGGGGGTCAATTCCTATATACCTCAGTTTTGTCACTGGCTCATCCTCTGGCTGCATCTCCCCCCTCTTCTGGCTTTTCCTACAGGGTAGTGCCCAGCCAGGGAGTGGGGGCAGTGCTTCTGCAACCCATGTCAAGTGTCCTCAAGGGGCTGATGCCAGCAGAGCTCACACAGCCCTTGCTGCCCAGGTGCAGGCCCCGGCCAGGTCTCACTCCTGCTGTGCTCAGGTCTCCACCACACTGAGCATCGAGCCACTGCTTTCTCAGGCCTGGCAGCTGCAACTCATTCTGCTCTATAAAGGAAGCCTCTAGTTCATACTATGGTTTTCCCTTCCCAAAAGGGTCTCCAGGTCTGCAAGCAGACCCAAGCAGCCCCGGGTGGGCCAACCCCAGCCCGGCAAAGTGATCTGGATCCACAGGGGGAACTGGGCTATGAGGATGATGTGGAAAATCCCGGGCACACATTTATCTGCGAGAATCCCGCGGGGCTGGGCTGGGCTGGGACGCGGCGTTCGAGGAGCAGGGAAGGAGTTGCGTAAGGCCGAGTGCTCGGGCTGCAGCTCCGGGCGCGCAGAGCCCGGCAGGGAGAGCGCAGGAGGTGCAGAGCTGAGGGGTCTCTCCCCACACACACTGGGCCCATGGGTGGGCCTCCAGCCCCCCCTGCTCTCCTAACACTGCCCGGCCAGCCCCGCGGGCACTCCCCTCTGCTACAGAAAGACCCCCGACCCTGACTGTCCATTGTGCCTGTCCTGGTTTGAGCCAGGACGAAGCCAATTTTTCTTTTTTACTGATTTTTTTTTCCTTCAGTAAGCTTTCTTGTAACTAGCAACAGTGTGTTCTGCTAGGCTGATAAGACAGTGGAATGTTTTTCTAACTACTGAGGCTTCAAGGCTGCACCTGCACTCTGCCGGCTCAGACACTATGGGGAGATCTGTGACCCCCCCGTAGGAGGCTGAGTTAGATGGACAGCAAAATTGGCCAAAGATATTCCATTCCATATATCTACGTAAGCTCAAAGGAAGGTCAGAGATCACAGAAGACAACTTCCTTCCTTCTTCTTCTCCCTTCTCTTCCATCCATGGCTGGTGTCCGGGGAGGACTCTGTTCATCCATCACCGTCGATCCTCAGGCTTGATCTCTCCTGACCCCCATAACTCTCTGCTTTCTCCAGCAGCAGCTCCGGGATTCCTCGGGACTCTTCCCAGTTCAGGGAAGTGCTGTGGGAGTTGCTGGGGTGGGGGGAGGCGAGAGGGTTTTTTTTCCCATTCCTGAATATATTTGTATATAATTGTATATATTTTCTTGTATGATTCATTAGTGTTTAATTAAAGCTGTGTAGTTTAGTTTTCAATCCAGCCAAGTCTCTCTCTTTTTCTCTCTTTCCTTCCCTACCTGGGGGTGGGGGGGAGGGGATCGAGAGCATTGTTGTCGGACCCCAGTCAAACGGTGACAGTGCCTCAGAGCTGAGCCAGGCTCCTGGCTGGGGGAAGCTCTGGAGGCTCAGCCTGTTCCAGCAGGGAAGGAAAAGAGGGACACATCCTCATCCCATCTCACTTGCTCTCCCATTTTCCCTTCCATTCCCATCTCATCTCCCATGCTAGGGCCATGACCCCCTCCCCGCGGCAGGGACCTGCTGAGCTTGACTTGTCCTCAGAAAGCAGGATGCAATGAACTGGGGGGGGCTCAGGGCAGCCCCCACCTGCCTTGCCTTCCTTGGGGGGGGAGCCGGGGCTGATGGAGCAGGCTGGGTGCTATGGTACCCTGTGTCTGGGGATTAGTGCTTGGAGGCCAGGGACAGAGCCAGGGAATGCCATGCCAGGAAGGAGGGAGAGGCCCTGCTCTCATGTTAGGAGCTGCACAATGTGTGCCCCTTCCTTTGGGGCCTGTGGCACAGCCCAAGGGATCATCGTGTCCAGGAGGAACAGACTGCAAACATGCAGACATGCAGCAGGAGGTGCAGAGAAGGCCCTGTGCAGCCTGGGCAGGGGGATGGCACCCCCTTTCCCCAGGCTGCTGCACCCACTGGCTGGCTGGGTGCTCAGCCCAGTCCTGCTGCTCTCAGGAGACCCTGGGGACACAGCAGGGCTGGGCTCAGCCATGCACAGCCCTGCGGTGGCATCTGCCAGCTGCAGGGAGGGGTTTCTGGTGGGGCTGCCTGGTGCCATTGGCTGGCACTGTGTCACGCCACGCTCTGGGGACAGAACAGGCTCTGCCCACCCGTGGGAGGAAGGCTGGTGTGCAGCTGGGGTTTGGGCGGGTGAGTTTTGCAGAGTGGTTGCAACGAGGGGGGGCCTGCCAGGGTGCCACTGTGCATACACGCAGTCCAGGGGGGCCTGAACCTGTTCGCACAGGCACACACCTGGCAGGGAAAGCAATCCCAGCCGCACACTAAAGGCACGTGGGTGTGCACGCTGAGCCCTTGCACTCGTGTCTGCAGGGCTGCCTGCACCAGCCTGCAGCCGGGGCTGACAGAACAGGGAGGGGACAGGCACCCCGTAACACTTTCGAGCCCCCGTGGCCTGTGTTTGCTGTTTACCCGGCGTTTCCAGGGAGCCAACCGTCCTGCTGTGACTCACACCGGCTGGGGCCGAGTCGCCCTCATCACAGAAGAGCCCTAAAACAGCGCTTTAGGAACCTGGGGTGCAGCCACTCACCAGCCATGCCGGGCCTAAGGGCACTGCCAGCCCCTTCACCAGGCTGGGGGTGTCTCCAGCTGGCCCAGGAGTTGTGTTCAGGGTATAAAACCCCAGGTTAATATACTGCATCTAGACATCCTACCAGCTTGGGGTTCTTAAACCCTCACCCAAGTGTCACAGCCACCCAAGCATCCCCACAGATGGAGGGTTGATGTTTTGGTTTTTTTCCTCTCCCCCACCTACCCCATTGAGGTTGAAGCCAAGACTGGCTGTACCCTAGGACAGGGTTGGGACAGCCTCAGCCCCATCCAAAACTGATCACTGCAGCTGACACACTCTCATACTGAGTTTCTTTCCCGCCACCCTCTCCCCACACCTGCCCTGCACAGTCCTAGACACAAGCAGGACGCAGAGGACCAAGGCCTGCAGGCTCAGAACACCTGTCCCTAACACAAGTGCAGCCCCTGGAAGGCTGTGCCTGCTCATATCTCCAAAATCCCATCATGGCTCAAGCAGAGCTGTTCAGGGCAACTTATGCTCTTCAAGGGTGAGGAGCTGCCAGGCTTTCCGAGCTAGGGAGCAGCACAGTGTCACCAGTCCCATCCCAGCAAGCTCCAGCCCCTTCCCCAGTGCCCACACTGCCCACCCAATGCCCCCCCACTCCTCCCCTTTCCCAGCCACAGACACTCAGCTTGGGGCACACCTTTATATAAAAAGTAAAGTTTATTGCCATTTCTATCTAAATTTACACAACTGTATCACCGCTTCTGACGTTGAAAGGGACATCCTGCCACTTCCCAGAGAGCTGCCCAGGGAAGGTGGGAGCCCAGGAGCCCAGGCCAGCACCCCTCAGCCCGGGGGCTGGGGGGCAGGCGGCTCTGCCCGGCTGTCAGGCCCCATCCCGCAGCGCTGCCGCACGGCTCGGTCACGGTGGGTGCCAAGGGGTGAATCCATCCCCTCCTTGGGCTCCTGGCAGTGCCAGACACCCAGTTCCAGCTGCTCATCCTTCCAGTCTTGCCTTGAATCCCCCCAGATGGGCACCCCACAGCCTGGTGGGCACTGCTCCTGCGGGTGTTTGTAAATAGATGCAGCTACAGAAGAGGCCCAAACTAACAAAACAAGCTTCTCTTTGTAATCCCCACACGGGTGTGTGTACAGCCACGCTCTGCGCCGCAGCTGCTGCTCAGTCAGGTCTGGGCTCCAGTGGGCTCCTGGGTGGCGAGCGGGACACATCTGCCTTGCTCACTAAACAACGGTCTTCCTCCAGGCCAGGCTTTGCCAGAACAAGCCCCTGGCACGGTGCAGCACATGCACAGGACCGGGCACGTGCCCCTTCCAACCGTGGCTTCACATTAAAGTGCTGAAGGCCGCTGGCACTGCCAGGGGGCTGCAGATGCCCAGGTGCCCAGCACAGCCAGGGATGGGCAGGCTACAGATTCACTCCTGGCACACGGCAGGTTGGATGGGGAGGGGTCAGCTGCCCAGGTCTCCCTCGCAGAAGAGCATCCTCGTGCAGGACAGCCGCTGGCTCTGCTGGCTGGCCAGGGC